ACATGTCGTTTGTTTTCTCATTATATAAAGTAGTATACCGGTTTAAACATTTATCTCGTCAGTCATTTAGAAACTCAATGCTGTCGCTATCTCTGCAGTAAATGACACATAGACCAACTATCATAGTTCACATTATCATGTACCCATCTTATGTTTTATATAGAACAATGTAATATGTGATGACTGAGATTATTGTATATCAACCTAAATTGTACCTAAATAGCAAACTGATCAATTTACATAAAATGTCCTGATGTCGACAAGATATCATACATATTACATTGTACCTATCATATCACATTGTTCGGATTACTTTATTAATTGATATGCTGTCTTTTGTGTCTAAAACATAAATTGATATAAGTTTATTACATATTATTCATGATACATAATGTATCTCAGATATAAGATGCCACGTTTCCAATCAACCTGGATTTCCCAGAGTTCGTTTCTTCCGACAGCAAGACCTCCCGCCGGGTTCAACTTGTTTTGTGATTGGTGCTCTTGTGTCAGAAGATAGTTCACATAAATGTATGCGATGTTTTTTTTTTTTTTTAGAAAAACTGCTTGTTATCCAGTGAAGTGGGATATGTCATATTTTTCGTATATGCCAGTAGTTACATGAAGCGTTGCTCGATTGTTGTAACAGTAGTTCGTTTCCGGAAAAAAGCACCTTGATTGACACAAAAAATCCTTTGGAATTTCTCTTTTGAGAAACCCGATCAGCAACCTAAAACTTCAAGATGGCGGTCATTTTTCAGGATGCCAACCTCTGTCGATCCGGAAATATTGCATCTCGCAATAAAATCTGGAAAACTATTTGAATGACTGTAGAATCCGAATTTAAGAATATATGTACATGTTCCTACTCACTAGCTTCCTTGTACTAAAATATCAGTCCAGGAATCCTAATTAGAGTTAAAGGTGCCCCAGTCATAGGCATTATTAGTCCGATATATCACTGGATATATATGTACAGGTAGGCGAAGAGCCAATACTTCTTGGTATCTCATTGTCTTGTTCACTGCTTGGTAATGCGGTTGCTGTCACCGCATCTTCCTTGATCGCAATGACAGCATTTGGTAGGGCCACACATGCAATTGTATAAACCAGAGAGATGAAAACCTCGGCTTTGTTGTTATTTCCTCTCAGGAAGTTTAGCCAGTATGAGCTTATTTTGTTCTCCCCTGTCACCATATGTCTAACCCCGCAACCTCACTTTAATCTAGTTTCAGCAGTAAAAATGGCGCAACATAAATCCGTTTTATGTTTCAAAGAAAATATCATCAACATGTTTTATCCATATGTTTTCATTTTATAATGAGAGTTTTTAAAACTTGTCTCAACGTTTTAATCGTTCCCAACCAAGGCTCATAAAAGTTAAAATTTTGATGACTCGCTTCGTAAAATCTCATTTAGAATAAAAACTGTTCTAGATCCTATCGTATACATCTGTAAAATACAGGCATTGTAAGCTGTATATTATCGTGAACAAGACAAACATTACCCTAGGAAGAAATGTTATACTAAATGCTTTGTTGTGTACATTTTGTCATTAATTACGTTCAAGGGTCTATATTTATACATGAACTGAAGCAGAAGTTTACAGTATATGTTCTCTGTCGTTTGTTGACTGAAATCAACATCATTAACACGTGGTGTAAACGGTGGACGTGGTGTGGGAGTGGCGTGCAAAGGAATGTGTTCTTAAGTTCTCTACACTGACAGTAATTAATATGTTACTAGTTAAATTACATTGTGATTAAGATTGCTAAGAATCCCGACAGAATGTAGTGTATTGAGTTGTACATAACACTTCTATTGTATGGAATATGGTAATATGATGTCAACTGTCAAAAAAAAAAAAAAAAAAAAGGAAAGAACAAAGACAAAAAAAGGGGGAAAAAAGAAAAGAAAAAAGAAAAATCAAGAAGTAGTAAAAAAAACATACAAAGACAAACAAAAGAAAGACAAAATGCAGTGCTAGCTAATTATGTTGCCGAATCAAGTATAGAAATATTCTTTATCTTCTTGCTTGCATTCATATCTGGAATGATTTAGAAGCAGTAATTGGGACTCTAAAATCTATTGGTAAACAGAAGCACGAGGAAAATAATGTCTTTAATACACTGAGCTGAACTAACAGGATACATGGTAATGATTTGATGACATTAATGTAGACCGGAATACAGGAACACCCTAATGATGTTGATAAATGAACTTAATGTTGTGGTTATAAATTTAATTATGGTAATAATAAGATATGATATGAAATTATGTGACAAGAAGGCTGTCATTTCATAAAAATTTTCGAGATAGAAACCTATACAATATCAGGTTAAAACATCGCAATTATCAACGCACCTTAATTTAATTAAATGTTAGCGTCGGAAAACTGCGCAATTTTATCTCCCACCACGATAATCATTAGGACATACTGAATTTAATTACAATTGATTATTTTAAATACGGAATAATATTTTTAAGAGAAAACATAATTACATTGAATAATTGCAAAAAGTTCTAAATGTAAGAGGAGAAATTCGAACTGATGACAGTGTTAAAATGTGATTTTGTTCATTACTTTGAAGATGAAATAAACAATACAAAGTTTGTCATCACCTACTCAAGGCCTTCTGATGTATAGAGATGGTAGGATAGAAAGGTAAAAATCAAGGGAATTTGGATTTTTTAAAATCTAATACGAACTTAAAAAAAAATTTTTTTTTCTTTTTATAAAGATTTTGAATTCGTTTTCCTGCTGACAATCGAATCCAATTACTGATACTTTATGATGTTTGTCTTTGAATCATGTGTTTTGCAATGTGTTACTACTACCGATACTAAAAAGATACCAAAAGTATTTTGTTGCTAACTTGAGATGCAAACCATCATTGAATGTGGCAAGATGTGCAATGTAGATTGTGTCTTTAAAGAGGCTGGATGTATTTGATACTAGAATGAGACTAGTAGCAGATTGTTGCTGTAAAGGCACCAAAACAATCTGTTAAAGTAGCGTCTATTTAGAATGATCTTCAGTGAACCACTAGGACATTTCGGTGAAATCCTGGGAGCTGAGTGTAACGAGACTTTTCCAGCAAATTCTAGTTAATATCAAAACAATTAGGAAATTATCAACATGTCAACGGAATTTTAATCCAAACTCACATTCAATCAAAGCAGGCAAACCATGAACAAAATATATTTAAACGGAGAGCCTTGAAAAAGGCCAGAAAAGAGAAAGCGTCTTCTGCTTCATCAACGACGCTCGCCATGTAAATTTTGATCAATCCAATTATGAAAAGTCACATCATTCCAAAGGTGGAACAACGTATACAACATCGGAACCAGCAAGTATATTGACGAACATCAAAGACGCCCGAATACATACTGCATAAGGAAATAAAATATTTCCTAGTAAGATCAGCATAAAGACGGTAAGTCTCCCCCATCACCAACCTACATGTACATCACCGAAACACCATGTTGTGAGTTTGCCAGACAATTGCCGACATCTTACATGAAAATGGTGTCATTAGGAACAAGTTCTTAAATATCGAATCAACTGTGACATGTAAACACAATAGATATGTGAAAAGAAAAGAAATGGTAAAATGGAAGGAACAATTTCAATTGTGATGGGCCCAGGCCCTAGGATCATCTCTGTATCTATTATAAATAGACAGACAATGAGGATTAATGCACAAATAAAATACCTTGTCGTTAGTGACATTTTCTCCAGGTTGGTAATTAAATCTAGAACTGAAGTTAATATGTGACGTTTGGACAGCTAAGCCGTTACTATCATCAGACGGATGAGAAACGTATTTGCACCGACTTGCATGCAGTGTAGTTCCGAGATGTTAGTGAATCATTTTTAGGATTAGAGTTTTTAAGCTATAGTTTGATTCTTTGTACACTAAGATAGAAAATAGTGGGACGGAATGATGATAAGATTAGCGAAACAGTTTGAGGTTTCATACGTACGATGTTACCAACTAGGAGGTATCGATACATTATATATATTATTACGAAGGGGAATATTGTTGTTGGCTTCAAGTTAATCTTTTTGAGAGAGACTTGTTATTTCTTTATCATGTACGTTCTTAGACTGACAAATGAAGATGAAGAGATCAACCATTGTAGATACTGGATTTCCTATAGATGTGACTATCCTTAATTCGTGCAATGTTTCGTGCGAAGTATTGAACTAAATAAATAAATAGATAAATAAAATCATAAATAAATAAACTAATAAATAAATAGATAAACAAATAAATAGATAAATGAATAAATATTACATACACCTAAGAGGTCATTGGAATTAAAATTGTTCAGTTCAGAAACATTCATTACCTATATTGGTTATGCCTAAGATAGTTGGTCGGAATCATTTTGATAATAGTCCATCTCTTTATCTTTTCCGCGATGTTATAGATCTCGAGGAATCTTATCACCATGACAAATTATTTGATATCCATGCGGGTCGATCTGTCTAGTACCATCCAAAATATTCTACGTAGGTCACCAATAAAGGATATCAAGCAAATGGATTTTTGTTACCATCAGTGACTACGTATGCTTACTGAAAAAGGGATGGAGTGGTGCACTATTACTTGCTCTGAGAAATACAGAAACGACGAGGGAGACTTGAAAGGAAGACGAATGACTACGTATAGTATAATACGAAGATGAACTTGAAAATGTCTGTAGAAATAAATGACCCCAACTCCCATACACAAGTGTCACCTATGATCCTTGACCTCTGCACATGATGTTATGATACTTTGGGGTAGATACGAACAAATTCTGTTCACGGTTTTTAATCGACAAGACGGGACAAACGCCAAAGTCTATACTATATGTCCACGACCCATCCGCCTCTATAAAATGGCATCAGTATAGCAATCAATCATGGATGAAAATTAGGGAAAACAATCCATTGACCAGGGAAAACACGGATAGGAACACTAGTTCTAATTGGACAGTGATCGAAAGAGATGGACGGTGGAATAAACAAGGAAACAGAGAGATCGAAAGAGATGGAGAGTGGAATAAACAAGGAAACAGAGAGATCGAAAGAGATGGAGAGTGGAATAAACAAGGAAACAGAGAGATCGAAAGAGATGGACGGTGGTATAAACAAGGAAACAGAGGGATCGAAAGAGATGGAGAGTGGAATGAACAAGGAAACAGAGAGTGGAAACAAAAAAAAAAACAAAAAAAACAGAAAAATCTAAAGAGGTGAACAGTTGAATCAAGTAGGAAACAGCGAGATCTAAAAGGATGCACGATGAAAAGAACAAGGAAACAGAAAAAAATATGACAAGAGAGCGGAATAAACAAGTAAACAGAAAGATATATAAAGATGAACAGTGGAAACAGGAATGAAACAGTGAGATTTAAAATGATGCATGATGGAAACAACAAAGAAACGAAGAGAGATCTAAAAAGATGAAGAGTGGAAACAAGAGAATAAAGAGATGATCTAAAACGATGGATAAATGAAATAACAAAGGAAGAGATATAAAAAGACGGAGAGCGGACACAAGGAAATATAGAGATCTAAAACTATGGACAATTAAAATAACAAAGAAAAAAAAGAGATATAAAAAGATGAAGAGTGGAAACAGCAATGAAACAAGTAGATCGCAAACGATGGACAATGGAAACAACAAGGAAATAGAGAGATATAAAACGGTGAACAGCTGAAATGACAAGGAAAGCATGATACGACAATCAGAAAAAATATCGATAAAGTAAATGACCCAGTTTTGAGTTAATCGAAAATATGGAACGATTGATCTACATGGAATAGGTACGTGAAACAGGGACTTCGTTAGGTTCAAGGTCATGTTGTAAGGTTACAGCTTTTTGAAATAAGTAGATACGAGCATGTCAACATTTTTTGTTTCATTAAATCTATAATGTTATAACGGCAGGGACTGTCATTATTTTACATTGATTAATTAACTACTTAATAATCTTAATAATATATTCTTATGTCTTTTCCTCCAAGTAATTTATGACCAAATTCAGCCAAGATTGATAAAATTAACACAATTCAGCTAATATCATGTTAGTCGACTTATTCCTGAATTTTGTCCACTGTTTAATGTTAAAAACATTAAGAAAATACCAGCATGGCAACATAATCATATTTCAAACTCAAATTCCTTAAAACTTTGGCAAAATTTAAAGAAAATAAAGATTTACACGGAGATTCATGAAAAAGTACAAGGAGAATAAGACAAGGTGTTCCGGAAGAGTAAGCGTCTTCTACATCATAGACGACACCCACCATGTAAACTTTGATCAATCCAAGTAAGTAATGTCACGTTCTCTAATGAGAACAAGATTTTACAAATATTTAACCAACAGGCAAACAGGCCACCATAAAACTTCCCTATATTTTCATTAACCTGCAGTTTGTCAGTCAGTCGGCGACCTCTTGCACGACAATCGTGATAATGGGAACAGGCATTTGACTATCGAATCAACTGTGACATGTAAATACCATAGGTTGGAGATGCAGGAATATTGCTATCAAGAAATGGAAAATTCACAATTGGGAAATTGAAATCATCATGTTTGTCATACAGCTTGATGGAAAACTGTCAATGTTGGCTTCGTTGTAGGAAAAGATCGATATAAGCAGCTGATGTAGAAGAGTCGGTCGTATCTTTGATTTCCAGTTCTGGTAGATATACGAGAGACGTAGTAATCAATTTCTCGTTCTTTAAAGACAAGACGTCAAGTTTAATCGGTTTCCTTTATAGCATATTGAGGAACAACCCATAGAATGTGTTTAAAATAAAAAAAAAGGTTCCGATGGCCTGTGCTAGAGTATATTTAGTGCCGCGATCCATGGGTGTAAGACAGGGCTGACCATTTCGTTAAAAACGCATTTAAACAATAATCAACAGTATCAAATGGTAGTATTTTTCAAATAAATAGCTGTAAAATAAAACGTACGAACAATAGAAACAATACAGAGACGTTAAGCTTTACATGTGATGTTTTTAATAGATTGGTCATAAATACATATTAAGTAAAATATAGATATAATTATCATATAAAACGTGATACGTTTGGATGTTGTGCAAGAACCAGAATTTTATCTGTTTTGTTTAACTTTGAAAACACTGTAAACGTATAGAAAATCTTTTACTTTTTCCTCAAATAATATTTTTACAAATTATTCATTCCCAATAACTAACCATATAGTTGGGCTCAATATAAGTAGTACAGAAAATTTCTAGGTAAGATTATTTGGTTGACTATCAAGCTGGAAAACAAAGCCATTGGACTTTCTTCTAATTAGATATAAGTACTGTCTGATTTTTAAACGACAATTTTACAGGATCTCGATATTTCTGAAAATTTCATCATAGGATCTCTGCATATAGCGTCAAATGATATTTATATCTTTTTCGTGTCAAATATCGAAAGGAGGGGCCTCGCATAGCCTATGCATAGTAAGTAGGCCAATATGATATAAGAATATTAATAGCTCTATGATATAGGTCCGACTTCATTGTGCACGAAAAAAATGCAATTCAATCAATATGCTTATCAATCGCTTAAAGTATAAATGCTGCATACAAATATGAAGGAATAAATCGACACCCCGACAGAGAACATCTAAGGAAGGTCAGCGTGGATACAAATGTACAGTAATTAAAATGTAAACAATCAAGATGGAAGGAACTAAGGATGATTTTGTAGGAATGATGGAATTCCTGCTCAGCAGGATTCCGTTGTAATTTACAGTTTGTCTCTTTAAGTTGACTTCCTCCCTCATGAGAAAATCACAGCTAACTTAGAGGTCCTTCTCTGTCCGATATAACACATATTGATCAAATTATTTCATATATACAATGTACCCTGTGAATCCATTAGTGACCTTAAGGACAAACCTGGGACTTCAATATCACCTGCCTTCTCGCATTAATCACATGGTTAACGAGAACTACTTACATAAGTATATACAAATGTTAAATATAAGGAAATTCCATGGCTTCTTTACCTAAATGTACCTTGTTTGTATGTCAAGGGTCAAAGGTCTGATCCAAGCATCACGAATTTAATAGAAGATGTCTAGTAGTGACAGCCAATGTTTTAATACAGGGTTTCTAGACGTGTAAGTTAATTAACACAAGTTTAATGGTCGCCGATATGATTTATTTAAAGATATTCTTCGATAAATCCGCTTACGTCTCTAAGCGGTATCAGAATAATTGAATCGATTTAATTCATGATGTCTGTATCAAATTATAAATTTGCATTCAGAGAGATAATTGTACAAGTCATTATAAAAAGTGTTTTATTTCAAGCGACACTTCTTTATCTTGCCGATGGTAACTCGCCTTTACATGAAACATATCTCTTAATAAACGAAAAAAAAAAAATAAATAAAAAAATAAAAAAAATTTGAAACTGAAAAGGGATTAAAAAAGTATACTCCAAGAAAAATATGTGCAAGGTATTGTGCATTACTTGATTTTGTACATCGTTCTTGACGTGTTTTGTTTTGGGAACTTGGTCACTTTATTAACAGCTACCTTCCGCCTAATCTGATATGATTTCATCGGTATTTATCAAGGTTTGCCAATTGATTCTTTTGTCGAGTTTAAACTTATTCCTTTCGAGTTCGAACGACGTCCTTATTTTGTCTTTGGTTTAGGCAGTCTCAGCTAGGCATTACCTCAATTTGTTTCCGTGGTCACTTTCAGGCATTACATCAATTTGTTTTCGTAGTCACTTTCAAGCATTACATCAACTTGTTTCGTAGTCACTATCAAGCATTACATACATATATATTTGTCTTTGAGGTCCTGTATTAAAAGTGCAGTTGCCACTGATACAACATTATCACGATAATTAACTATCTCTACAGATTAGAAGCTTTGAAGCTTTGACTCCATCCAATTGAGGTTTTTGTCTAGCTTCACAGTCATTATCACGTATCAAGAAAAAGCAAACCTTCTTATGTTAAGAATACATAAAGTTTTTTGCCAATAAATTTAGAGGCAATCTGATATAAAACCAATGCAGAATAAAACTTCGGTTCTTCTTACCCCGTGCAAATGTTATGCAACCGTCGTTTCTATAGATGACGTCAATAGAATTCAATGGAAACTACCGACCAGAATAAGCTAGGGTCTATTCCTTTAATTGAATATATCTTGTATTGCAAATACTGGTCATATCAATTTTATTGAATTGATTACACGTGTTTCCAGCTACAAGATATACACGTATGATTAAGTCTATAAATGCATTTCTGACGAGTTACTTTGCACCACTCAAGGAAATATCCCACTCTTTTAAAACTGAAATAAAGTCGTGGTTTAATGGTAGCGAGAATGTTTTGGAAGGGGAAAAAATGATAAGAAAAAAAAAAAAAAAAAGGTTGACAGTAGACTGACAGCCCTTTGATGTGATATATATTACCATACAACTGTCAATTTCTCAATGGTAGTGTAACATTTAAGACGTAATACATTGACAACAAACAAACATCTATTTATGATTGTGTCCCTGCCAAATTAACATATTATGACCATCAAAGGGAATATATATGTAGATATTTGACCCAGTACGCCCATCACGCACATCAATACTGATAACCTTATTTTCACGTTTCGAGTCTGAATATGACAACAATGGATGTATAGGTTGACAAAAGCTCTCGAGAAAATTAATTTTCTCTCATATTTCAATTGTCCCTCCCTATTGTTGATAAAATATTTATGTAAGGGAATTTAAAGTAATCAAAGTTAATAAACAAATGAGATGATAAGGTACGTCATGGTAAAATACATGTTTAAAATATCAGGAAATGAGGTAAAGTTCGAGCAAAGGAGGATGAAGACCAACAACCACAAACTATAAGGAAGGTAAGGCAGAGACTTAAGGGACACAGTTTTCTCTCGCGTTCATATCAATAGTCCATTGAAATATTTTGCAACAGTAATCTGTAATCAAGTGACCTGTATGATGTAGCTGAATTCATTACTTGGCTGTATTGTTTCTAAATCTCAATCAGTATCGGAAAATGTTCTTCACTTGTATTTTATCTGTACAATCATAACTACAAAGACGTTAATTTCGGCTGCCAGTTTTGGATATAGAATAGAATATGCCGTTGAAACCTTGCATAGTTATTGCCTTACACTGATGACTTCCACTTCGTCACCACGTGCTGGTTACTTAATTTGTTATAACCCTAATTTTCATCGTAGAATATTTTGGTATAAGTAAGGACGCCATTAAATTTGTACACTCATGCACTATAATTCAGCTGATCTGTTTAAATTCTACATATTCACAAATTACCGTAATAAATACAGGCGTTGCGACGTTAAATATTTTATAATGAGTTTAGCCTCTTCGTCCTACTGATTGCAAATACCTGAATATAATACAAAAGAGGAAAACACACTCTCAGAGGCTATAAAGTTTTCATATTACGATAAATGGGTTTGTATTTGTTGTTATGGAAATGCAAATTTATTGTTACGCAAGTATTTCTGGGATAAATGTGACGTCACAATTGCACAATCTATTGTTTAAATTTTATTCTTGTTCTGCTCTGGAAGTGTTTTTGTGAGAAAACATGTTTATTGTCTTAGTAGATAACTACCAAATTTATTTACTATCGTTGAAATATATCTTGTAATCTATATACATCAGGAGAATAATTACGTATGTTGTAAATGGACAATGTCATATGTTTTATGACACAAAGTATACAGAACGAATGTTGATATAATATCTATAGGTATAATGTAAGAAAACGTTTGTTTAGGAGGAATGAAGTTCTATTTATTATTGTTGCGGTTATTAATCAGTCGATATCTAATTGACGCAGGAACGAGGTCTGCCAAAAGGATATCAGCTGATTCATGACACTTTTATGAATGAAAAGTGATTATTTTGAATACATAAATTTTAACAATAGTTCATTTATAAAAGCGCTGAATAATTCTATTTAATATTTTGAACAATTATAACATTAACACATGCCGAGGAAACAATGTCGACTCGCAATTTGCCCAAGTGTTTGAATAATTTCCGTTGAAACAATATCGGATAGACTGCCTTTGTCTTCAGATATCACTCCTAGCATATCCAACTCATTTTTACACTTGTTCTCCGCAACAGCGTCTCCCCAATAACGTCCGTCTGTTGATTGTGGACGGGTTTCATATTGGCCGTTTTGAAAAACGGTCAATGACAGGAAAAAAAACCTGATATAATACTGACCGAGTTTGGTCGTCATATTGTCGGCCCCGGAAAATACATGTATACTAGTGCAATATATTTGATAATTAATGAATAATATGTCACACTTTGTAACATTGTGCTCGACCTTCAGGAATATAAATGTATCACAGAAATAACTGTATTCCCGAGTGTAAATGCATTACTTGTTCTTAGTAATCCACTTATCAACAGTACTATTCATTGATATACTTTTATCTATAACGTTTCTTTCCTTGATCAATGACTAATCTCATTTCTGAACTAAATAACATTATATACACATACCACATTATTTCAATCGCAAAGACGCGTTTACTTATAAGAATGCCAACATATTCATACAAATATTACCTTCGTTATCATTACAGAATCATGAAGTGTATATTTTTACATACTTAATATGTAAACGACAACAGCTCAACACGTATGTTAATATTAATGAAAATTTCCAGTTATTTCCTTACGAGTATTCATTTGTTTAGTTTAGAAGAAGTATTTGTTTTTGTTAATGTTAAACGGTAACTGTTTTTTTCACTTTGTAGGAATGCGCAAATAGATTTTACTCCTTTAACTCCCGAAAGCTGATGATATTCTCCATTATGGGCACTTACAAATCATATTTTGAACGTAACAGGATATCAATAAAAATCAAAACATTTTGGAAAAAAAATCATCAATTGTGCAAGTATTGCCGAATATCAAAAGTCCCACGAGGAATTTTTTTCTAACATAATTTGGTTAAACAATGTCATTGGAAAATACCTTATTCACGTACCAATTTCATATGTAACATCTGCTATTGTACGTAATTCATATTAGATTTAATTATTCTGTATTTGAAAGAAAATTATTATGCACATTTTAATTTGAAAATCCCATACAAGTTTTGAATTTTATTAATTTAATTTTCAATTCAATTACCCTATCAGGCCTCTTACAGGACAAGTCGTTAACGCTGAGCACGATATTGAGTGACGGCTCCAGGTACTCTGGATGTGACGCAACGTGTCACTGGGATGATAGATATACCACTGTGGAGTGACACCTGGGATTTCATATAGTTATACACTTGTTTGTCGGCTAACGACAGTCATCTTCGATAGATCGGCGCACCTGGAAAGGTAAGATTGAAATATGCTTACAGTTATTCAATAATAGGAAAATTACAATTCCGAATTACAAAAATTGTTCTTCAGTGGGCGAAAGAATTTTTTGATACGAATGTTCTTCGATAAATTGAATATTGGTAACTGCGTTTTTAATTTTCTGAATAGAAGACCTCAGGACAATGGCAGTGTATGCGAACATTTATTTCTTAAGTGATACTCGCAATTGATTTTAAAATGGTGTTTTGACTTTTTCTACGCTAAACGTCATCGAGTTACAGTTTATTTAATTTGTATGTATAGTGATCAATATTTTTTTCATTACTGATATATTGCCACGCGCATTTGGAAATATATTCGATCACAAAATTGAAAAAAAAAAAACTCATTGAAACTTGAGAAATTACACAATACATATCATTTATGTACGTTTTCATATTTTAAAGATTAGAAACATAATTAATATAACATAAAGTTAGTATTCTTCCCAGCACATTTTTTTGATGTATCTTTCGCTGGAAAATATAAGTTTGTGAATGGAGTACTAGTTTTTTTTCTGTTAAAATAGAGTACCATCTTCTCTGTCATTCTTCTCTGAGTTACACAAAAAGTTTATAGGAAAATTAGAAGAAAACATATTTCGATGCATGTATAAATGATATGTATACATTTCCCCTTATATTGATGGCGTATTTTAAAATTGATTTCTCCAGCGACGCAGTTTGAGCGTTGAATGTACATATATTAAGAAATTATGTTCCGAGCTTTTGGTACGCAGGTTGATTTTAACTCTATTTTGCATTGATCTGACTATTGCAATGATTCAATATACGAGTTTATATTCTTAATTTTATCAATACATCACTTTTGTATTTGTATTACACTTTAAGCACAACTTTTTGTACACACTATCATTGTAGTATTAGATTTATCGGCATGTTTTGCCGCATTTCTATTTTTATCTCCGATGTTAATTTTTGACAAAATAACATGATAGTTTGGGCCAAGTACAATACATGTACTTATTTTTCTGCTGCTAAAGACAACGACTCATAACCAATCATTGCCCTTATAATTCCGTCAACGTATACCAACAGCCTGATTTGGTTTTAGTCTTCTTTAAAATATCAGTTATTTTCTACTATAACCTGGATAGATGTATTTTTTACGTTGCCTTATTATCAAATGTGTTAACCAGTTTGGTTTCCGAAATAGATTTTACCATTTCCATAACTTTGGATTTTATTTTCAGATCAAGTGCGTCATGGCATTACCAGCGTTTCCTGTGCTGTGTATCTTTCTTTTGTCGTCATTGTACCAAGGTAATTGTATATGCAAAAAAAACCTTTATATTTTTGAAAGATGGAAACAGCTAAACTTTCTCACCACTTTTCGATAACTATGCAATATTTCTTTAACATTTATTTAACACTTGTTTGAATTTTCTGACATGAAAACATCATAATATTAAGTTTATCAAAGCAAATTAGATAGCCGGAAAAGTTTCAAACACTAATTAATGTAAATGCATGTTATCGTTTTCATATTCAGTGGACAATCGGCTACATTCTGTCTAAATCGTGATGTATACGTTAGAATTATGTAATGAAATGAATAAAATGAATATGAAATGAATCTAACATGTCATGGAAGACTACGGAAACGCTGTACACATTAGGGTGATTAATTTATCGGATTTGGTGAAAGTATTTTTGAGTTTTAAGACCATGCCAGGAATACATATGATAACAAATTCGTATTCACCATGAGAATTAAAGACAACCCAAATTGAAACGTATCACTTTAACTGTCCCGACAGCTAAAAACACGACCAAGTCATGACAGTTGTTGATATAATGCTTACTAAATTGTTCAAAAAACGTTTGAATAATTGCCTAACACCGGTCATGTCTTGCGATGAAAGTATATCACGCATGTGTCAGTTTGTCGGTAACGACATTTCACGTCGCGCATATCGACCTAGTGTGTATTTAATAAATTAATTTCAAAATAAACATAGCGGTAATCCAAGTCCAAAGGTCGTCTAGTTTTATTGAAATAAAACATTATAAAAAGTAATATTGTCTGATATCCTCTTAATGGTGTGTATGCATCATGATTTTCTTCTCTGTTACGCATGACTCAGACAAGAACAGACCGATTACGCCTGTTTATATTGTTAATGAGTAATCCGACGTATTAACATGTTGATAAAGACAGGTTTAATAATGATCCGATACTGCCTTTATAATAATACAATTTATGATATATGAATGACAGAGTGGACATTAAAGTTGGCAATAATTATACAGATAAAACTTATTATACAGGATTCTGTTTTAATTAGTGATAAAATATCATCATAACTGACCTGAGAGTATCAATCAGATATACTATAATTCCTTCCTTCAATAGCAATATGTGTTGATTTTATTCGTATTAATACATACATTTAGCACAGAAAAAACAATTATAAAACGACACACCCTTTTTACTGTTAAAATTGTCATTTTTGGGAGCGGCTTTTTTTGCTCTATCTAAAGATGGAACGAAATGGTGAAAAATAGATACATTGATTTCTGCTTTGAGACATTAATTAATGTCGCAAAAGTTAGAAAAGCGGAATAGCAACATTTTCGGTAAATTGATGTTATATTCAGTTATGTTTACTAATATAAAAACAATCCACCTAACTGTATTTGTTTTTCTTTGTAGGCGTGCTGTCTCAAAATGTCAATTTTCACAATAACTTCCCAAGACAAGATATGATGAACTCAAGGCAAGGAGGATTTAACGCAAGACCTCGACATAGAGGGGGACAAAACCCGGGAATGTTTTCTAGCGGTGGTCAACTGTCGCCCTCCCAGGGACGTTCTAGACCTGGTCACAGCTCAGGCATGATGAATCCGTACAGTGCTGCGGTTGCCATATCGAGCGCGGACTCAGTGCTATCACACCAATCACTCGGCCCAAGCGCACGTCCTCTACTGGCCATGGGTGGAGGCCCTCCACAAATGGACCGGTCCCAAGGTAAACCTGTCAACATGTTAAGTATGAAAAAAAAACAACATTTGTTTGGCATAAGGGCATTAGGCAGTGGCGAAGAGTCAAATATAGCATACATAGAAATGTTATCTGTACATCAACGATAGAGACAAAGAACGTGCTGAAAAAGAAGGCATACTACAGACACTTATTGTTTCTACATCTCAATAACCGATTATTTAACATTGTTTCGGTAATCTGTAATACATATCACTCGTGTGGATGCTATCCCATGTGCGCCTCGTTATATATACCACATTCTGTGTCTCACTCGTGATTATACCCTATTATTTCATTAATAGTGTAAATGATTAAATGTCAAGAACTTTAAATGATAGTTCTTTATAATGTTCTGTATTACTATATCAATTATATGTATTATCTTATAATCTTTTTCCATATTAGTATGAAAACCTATGCAAATGGAATTACGTTAAATATCCCTTCTTATTGTGTTCTTTAGGATCCATTTCGCACGTACAAGATATGGCAATTGGCGGAAATGCCATGCAGCCCTCTCAAACGAATCCTTGGAACCAACCGGAAGTTCGTGAACCTGGGTTCATCCAAAGCCGTGGTAAGTGGTCATTTTTTCATTTGGTGTCTAAGTCAATTGTATATATTAAGAATAATACAAATGACACTTAAGTGTTGCCTTTTAACAATTAGAGTATCAAATATCAAATATTGAAACTGATGAGATAAGATTCATCATTCATAACGGATTCTAAGATATTTTGCGTAAAGACAGAGATTTATTGAACTATGTTCCCTTATTCATCATGTTGCTTATGAGTGAAACAGTTCATCTTAAATTAGAAAAAAAAAAAAAAAAATCTAGCATCTGATTTGACATTCGATGTCGAAATTGATGTCACGTGGTTGTTACTTATGAATTTCAAGAAGGAAGCCTGATTTGATTTGATGATGAATAACTACATGTTATTTATGCATGATTGGTATATGTTGTATAATGTGATGTATGCTTTGATGTATTGTAACATAAAGAAAACAATTATTTGTCAATATCTTACGATAAGATACTCAAATCAACTTTCTCCCATAAAAGTGAAAATTTTAACTTATTTGGTCTAAGTTTCTAATTATTCATCTTGTAATTTCTATCCAAATATTTTGAAATATTATTGCGGCACAATCCTGTTCAATTCGTGTTCCGATCACAAAAAGAATAATCATCACATACTATGGGAGAAATGATAAAACACAACACATTGGATATCATATATCATTGTATTAACAATTAGTTTTCATATGTCAAAACAAAACTCACAACTCTTCTACACACGGAAACAATTACACTGATTTACATACGATAAACAATTACCGCAACTACACAAAACTTGTCGTGTTGTTTGTTACGAATGTATTATATACTGCACCAATGTATCGTGTATATATCAACTAAAATTTACATAATCCTATATAATACACTGATACTGCATGACTGGTCCTGTCCCAAACATTACTCTATATCTAAGACAACCAAATAATATAACCCAATGATTGTCTTTACCTTGCACCTCTTGTTCGCCGATGCGTAAATAGCTGTTCCTTATTTAGCTGTCGTGCTTGTGGTTCACACAGCTTCTATGTTATACACAAATATTCCAAAAGTGCTGATTGGATTAGTTATTTTTCAGGATATTCCATCACCATGGAACGCTAATCTTTCCCCGTAACATAGATTTAGCGTATATTGCATACAGGACACAATACATAAATTACCGCGACACACCAAACTTTATTTGTATAAACTCATCACTAACCGATGTGTTTTGTCATCAGATGGTTGATATAACCGAATCAAACAAACTCAAATATTTTAAAGAAGACGTGTTCGCTGCGAATTAAACAGGCACAGATTCTCGGTATTAATACTCGTCCGTTGACAAATACAGGAGCCACTGTGGTTGACACTGGTGTAAATAGAGGGGAGACTATCCAACATGACCAGAATATGGCATTCAATACAGCCACAAAGCAAATGGACGCACATCTGCTCGTCCCCGATGCACAAGGTCAACCGGATTTACTCCGATCACACAGTTTAAACACCATCAATGGGCAAAACACAGGCAGTTCAGGGATTTCTTCCGGCTCGTCTTTTCGATCTGTAATGACAGCTCCGGACGTCGTTTCCCCTACTCCTGTCGTCGATAGACCTTTCGACTCACCTGTGTTACTCTCAAACCAAGGGGACTTACCCAGTGATATGCAACAAGTTCTATCGCAAACAACAGGTTCCAATAACCAACTTTGGGATGCAGCCAGTGTCATTCAACAACGTGCGCTTGACAATCCACAAACCGAAATATTTGTAGAGGGTACAAAACTTTCACCAAGTAAGTATACAAGGTCAATTTATTCCATTTAAAATTTTCGGAATATTTCACGCGTTAATATTATATTAGTTAAAGACATCTTTTTTTAAAATAAGGAACGTAGTTAGCTATATTTTGGCAGTGTAATATCACCTTTTGTTTCAGGAAGAAAACAACCAACATTATCGGATCATATGGCAGGATTGGTTGTAGGAGAAAATATTATGCCAGGAGATTCTAGTTCAGTTGTTGACCCTAGATTTGGAATAATTTCTTCACCCGATCATATAGCAACAATGGAGGTCAGTTCGAGCCTCGGTGCTCATAGACCACCACCTGATACATGGCATGCCAGCATACAGCATCGGAAAACTTTACATCCACAACGAAATATTCCATCCGGTATGCAAGACCACCCTGGAATGCGCATTGCAACTCCACCATCTCAACGTTTTATGAACGGAATGCATTCTCTTGGATTATTGTCAGACGCATATGTTGTGTCAGATGGTGGTTCGTACGTCAACACAGACGCTGAGGTGAAAGTCAGGTCTGGTTTGTCAGCTATTGCCCGTCAAACACCTCGTCCTCCTCCTACCCAACCTCCACCAGGTATGTTACCTTATATATCTTTATTTGTAATTATTGACGTAACTTATAATATGAAATCAATATTTTAAGATTGAACTCTGCTTGTCAAAACTTTTCACCTGTCAAAAAGCTCTTCATCTTCCAAAAGCTCTTCATCTTCCAAAAGCTCTTCATCTGTCAAAAGTTCTTTACCTGTTAAAATTTATAAAGCTCTTCACAATTTATAAAGCCAAACATCCCTCTTACCTACAAAATTAAACTTTCTGATATAGATATGGAAAGTTGGTGTTTTAGTTTATCTCAAAGCTCCCATGTACATAATATCCTGTTAAAACAGTTCTAATTTCTGTACCCCAAGTAAATCGTTAACAACATATCATGCATTGCACAGTTAGGGCTTCTACATGTATCATCAATAGTCTTAGTAACCCAAGATAACTACAGACTACACAAGTATTGCACACAGTCTTTCATGGTAAATCCGGATATCACCGGTATTGCATGGTTTCCTTTATCAGATACTACCTGCGTCGATATAACATTACGTTGTCACCTAGAGTATCACACATATGTAGTTGTGGGCCTCGCCTGTATAACGTGTAGTCTTTCCGTGTAATTTGAACATTATTTAACTACGTATTATTTATAAGTCTTTTGATCAAATGACGTTCTACACACCCATGACACACATATTACCTAATTTGGCCACCTTGGTAACAGCAAACATCACCTTCACACTTAGTATCCCTAACAGACAACAGTTTTAAGCTAGTCATTCTCTCTGGGTAACTACACGCTTTAATAAAGTCCAGAACCTTCTCCACACATATTCGTCGTAGGAACTTCTGGCAACCTTGCCATCACACACACCTTCACCCTTGCCCTATATCCTTGAAACTTACGGCAACACCATCATCACAGTTCTCTGTGTATGGCGAGATTTTTACACACGTTCATGCTACTGCATGAATGACATTTGAGACTTAATCATCAGATGACACAATAAAACACCCAGTCTACACACTGGTTGTTTTTCCCAATCACAAACTGTTTCGAAGCTTTCTTCAGAATCTTATCTACAGAAAATCTTTAAGACTGGCCTCTTATTTCACATTAAATTACATTTAAATCCATGAATCATGCGAAGTTCTAGATGATTTTGATAAATTTGTATCTCAAATATTAATACCAATTATCATCAATATGTGGTCAGAATACTTTTATTATCTTAAATTTGGCAATTCATGTATTTGTTGGTTGTATTGTAGAAGTTACTAAAAGACCTGAGCCTGTTATTGATCTGAAGAGTAGAGGCAAATCGTGGGAGAACTTTAAAGATATACCATGGGGCAGTGAACAAGGAATATACAAGCCAACAGGTATATCCTCTTTATATCTTGAAGTATTGTTAATTGTGTTGAATTTCGTGAAACCTTATGCTATCTTGTATCTCTCATAATTTCTTGCAACAGTTCAAAGACTGAATATTTTCATTACAGGTGCCGTGACTGTTGAGAAGAAAGAGAATACGCCTAATCAGGGCCAGTCGGTTGCTAAGAAACAAATATCACCGGAAAAAACGGAGGTGAGACAACCAGACCATGGTCAATTCTTTACCAATAAACAAATCAATCCGCAAAGGACAGATGTGAAGGCACCGCCGAAACCTACAGTCAAACATGCATTGGATAATTTAATGATTTATATTGATTCAGTCAATAAGAATCTGAAAGACACAGAAATTAAGCAACAAGGATCACACCCACTAAAGTCGCAAGGAGGAACAGCGCAAAAACCTGGTGCAGCATACAGAGGAAAGGTACATCAAATTGGCGTTGCCCAGCGACATATATCGCCCTTGACTGGTTTATCGAAGGAAAGAGCATTAAAGCAAACTGGGTTAGAACATAGAAAGAGTAATACTCCAGGAAGCCCACTCAAAGGAAAAGGAAACTTAATACAACAGTCAGGAAAGTACCAAACAGACAAATTTGCAAAATCTGGAGGACGCTCACTGCAGCAAACTGGCATTGTATTGCAAGATTCTGGTAAACTTCAAGGATCCAAATCACAATTGCAAAGTAAAGTGCAAGGAGGATTAGTTCAGGGATCCGGTAAGTCACCAGTAAATGCACTTCAAAGTAAAGGTTCCGCCCAAGACAATTTAGTGCAGAGGACCAGTCAGTCTAAAGCAGAGGCGTTGAAAAATTCTGGAAAAGTTCATGGGCCTTTAATGAAACAAGCCGGTAAATCTCAAGGCGGCCCACTGCACAAGACAGGTGTGATTCAAGAAAATTCATTACAAGAATCCGGTAAATCCGAACAAGGTACATTAAAACATATTGCTAAATCTCAGGGTGGTCTAATGCATAAGCCGGGTGCAGCGCAGGATAGTATTACGTTGAAAACTGGAAAATCCGAAGGAAGTATGTTGTACCAATCCGGTAAATCACTTGGGGGCCCGTTACATAAAACAGGAAAAATTCAAGGGAGTTTACTACATCAAGCTGGTATACCAAAAGAAAATACCTTACAGCGCATCGCCAAATCTAGAATCGGTCCATTGCACGAAATGGGTGCAATGCAAGGTCATTTGGTACAGAAAAGTGGAAAATCCCAAGGCAGTTCGTTACAACACAAGGGCAAATCTCAAGGAATTGCATTACAAAAATCTCCAGAAGGTGCAATACTGCAAACGGTTAAAGCAACAGGAGATGCGTTACAACTTAGCGGTAAATCCCAGAGAGGTCCATTGCACACAACGGGTAAAATGCAAGGCGGTGGTATTAAAAAAATCAGTAAATCTCAAAGAGGTCCATTACATGGAGTGGGTACAGACCCGAGCAATTTAGTACAGGAACCTGCTAAATCTCCAGGAATTGCCTTACAACAAACCAGAAAATCTCACGAAAGCGCGCAAAAGCAAGCTATAAAGTCTGGAATTCCATTGACTCAGACTGGTACCCCTCAAGGAGAAGCTCAATCCGCAGCGACTCAGAATGAAATTTTATCCAAACAACAAGGAAAAGAACAATCTAATCCAAAACAGAATGCAGTGAGCAAATCAAAAGAAAAACCAGTTGCACCAGTCCAAAGTAGAGGATCGCGGAAATTTAATATGCCCAAAGGAACATTGTCGCAAGGTCAAGTGAAGCAAACAGAAACAACCCAAATGAACAAAACTCAAACCGGAGCTGGGGCAGATACAAAGAAGATAAGCGCTGCGGCTAATCAAGTCATTAAGCATACAAGCACTGCGAAAAAAACATCAGGTGGCATGACTGCTGATAGTAAGATAAGCGCTGCGAACGAAAACAAAGTAACAAAAACGCATTTGGATAAAGAAAGCAAAACAGAGATGCGCAATGCCTTCAATTCTGCCAATTCTAAGACGTATGAAGCCATGTTAAGCAAACCTATACATAGAGCTATGTCTAATCAACCTACTGTTGAACCAATTTACGGTGCTGTTATTGGCAACGCAAATATTCGTCATGATACTGGCACATCACAGGACACCACGGTCGTTACAAAGATATCGGGTGAGAAAATTGTATTCATTTAATTTTTACTCTTTTGTGGTTTGTGTGTGTAAGATATTTTTTCAAGAATATTCTATCATTAAGTGTTTAAATACCCATCTGTCAATATCAATTGAGACATATTCGATATAAAACTTGCATGATGATTGAAAATGCGATGTATATGGATATTTGTAACTTTATAAACAAAATAACAAAATAAAAAATAATCTTAATGCATGCATTTAAGTATTGAACTACATTAGGTTATCGTTTCTGTGATTTCAGGCGATCAATTCACGACCCCATTACCATCATCAGGTGTCCAGGTTGACAGAAGCAAACTTCATGGCATTCCAATATATGTTGGATGGCCGCAGCCAACTTTACCTTTGTCTTCTAACAAACATGCCGCAGAAGGCGATTCAACGCCTACAATACCTGTGGCTATGACTACAAGCTCTGTTACACCAACCACTGTCACTACTACACAAAAGATAACCACTACCAATCCGCCAACGACAACTACAACTCCAGAACCAACAACTACAACAACTGCTGCTACAACCACTACCACAACTGAGCCAAAGACAACCACTACCACTCCAGAACCAACAACTACTACAACCACAGAACCAACGACTACTACTACAACAACAGAACCAACAACTACTACAACCACAGAACCAACGACCACTACTACAACAACAGAACCAACGACCTCTACAACAACTACAGAACTAACAACAACTACTACAACCACAGAACCAACAACTACTACTACCACAGAACCAACGACCACTACTACAACCACAGAACCAACAACTACTACAACCACAGAACCAACGACCACTACTACAACCACAGAACCAACGACCACTACTACAACCACAGAACCAACGACCACTACTACAACTCCAGAACCAACAACTACTACAACCACAGAACCAACGACCTCTACAACAACTACAGAACCAACGACAACCACGACAACACCAGCACCAACAACAACTACTGAACCAACAACCACTACAACTCCGGAGGCAACAACTACAATAGAGGACACCGCCAAAACATTTGCGACAGGCGATAATTGGATTGGTTCATTTGTTACAGGGAAACCTGTACTTCACCACCTTGTGCTAGTAAATCGCACGACAATTTTACCTTCACTGCAAACATTACCGCAATCGACCACTGAACGCGCGCAAATTAAAACTTCCCTTTCAAACGTTGATAATATCTTATTAAAATCGTTACCCGAAGTTACTACATCAAGCAAAATTGTTCAGCCTAAGCAAGCTTCTACTTTTGCCCAAACACAGGATTTTACATATGCTGCATCAAGTGCTAAATCACCAAACGAAGGAGACACACCAGTAGTCACCGTAGCAAACAACTTAGATAATGGTTTGCAAAGCGATTTACCAATAGATCAAATGACAACTGTCAACTATCTAGTTACAGATGTTAAAGACATCTTCAATGCAAAACATGAAACAGAGCAAGTACATACGCAGTTTGCAACATCAGAACCAACTTACATGCCATCTTCAACAGAACAACTTCTTGGATCTCAGCAAACAGTCAAGACGTTGGAGTCTTCGACTACGTTTGATCCGTTTGGAACTTCATCTCAAGGAGCTGATAGATCACATGCTGAATCGCAGGTGCAGACATCAACGCATGCAGCCGCATTATTTACAGAAGACATCACTACACCATCCTTACTTTCCCTGCAACAAGAAAGTTACACTACGGCTGTCACCGATCAAGGTACTACTAATAAAAATAACGAACTAACAACTAATATACAGACATCATCTAAACGACAAACAACAGTCGCGGAAATCATTCCTGTGCCATCTGAACCTCTTAGGTTCGATCATCTGTTTATGGCATTCGTCAAACCTAAGGTAGAAACCACTACACAACCACCTACTACCACAACTAAGACGACGACAACTACTACAGAGCCTACAACGACAACCCCGTCGACAACCACCACAGAAACGACCACAACCACAACATCAACAACAACTACAGAAACGACCACAACAACCCCGTCCACAACTACCACAGAACCGACCACAACAACCCAGTCAACAACTACCACAGAACCGATCACAACAACCACGTCGACAACTACCACAGAACCGACCACAACAACCACGTCGACAACTACCACAGAACCGACCACAACAACCCCGTCCACAACTACCACAGAACCGACCACAACAACCCAATCAACAACTACCACAGAACCGACCACAACAACCCCGTCCACAACTACCACAGAACCGACCACAACAACCCCGTCCACAACTACCACAGAACCGACCACAACAACCCAATCAACAACTACCACAGAACCGACCACGACAACCCCATCAACAACTACCACAGAACAGACAACAACAGTTCTGATCACATCTACTACCGAACCAACCACAACAATGACAACAACTACTACTACAGAAACGCCAACATTAATGTTGTCAAAAATTACGTTTGGCGAATCGACAACAGTTGGAAAAGCAGAAACAACCACAACAGAAAAGGCAGCGATAACAAAACTAATACCAAATGTTGCATCATCGATGAAAACGACATTTTTTAATGCGCATACTGCTAAAGCGTCAAGTGCAGCTGCACCAACTTTGTCTAGTAACCTCATGTATTCTACTGGTTCTAGCATTGCTGCAGGACCAGTAGTAGAAGGGTTGAATTCAGTTCTGCCTACTAAAGACCAAAGACAAGTATCTTTATTAACAACATCATCAAATCAACAATCAGATGCTTTCAAAGGAAATTCACCCCTTTTTAGTTCGACACTAACGTTCAGGCCAAATACTGTTACTAACAAAGATAAAACGTTTAGGACACATTCACCAGGCTTAGCATTTCCAACTGAGTCGTCATCTGCGCCGGCATCTGTAACCGGATATTCCTCTTTGACCAACACCCAATCTTCCACCATAGGAAACGGTGAGTTGTATCAGTTGTCTACTACACGTGGTGGGGATGGCATTCCCCACGAAAGTATAACATCCGAAAATGATGTAATACCTACTAATTTCAATATTGCAGGCACGGATACAGCAGTAACGCCAAACCCAAATATGATAGAGGATTCCACTGCCACAAGTACAAATGATGTTAAGGCAAAGACAAAGAATGGGAATAGAATGCAGAACCTAGATATGAACTCAAACGCACACACCACCGAGATAACAAATACACAAACCACTGTCAACAGTCCAGTCCAACAAGCACACAATACAAAACCATCACGTTTTACATCAGATCACACTACTGCAGGTAATGTTAAAACATCATCATCAAATGTCGATCAAACGACGCAGTATGGTAATACAATATCAACCATTCCATCGACATTTCATAATGAATATATTGATAATGCAGACAAGTCGAAACAACAAAAGTTAAATACTGACAAAGCATACCAATCACCACCAACTACTGAAAGTTCCACTGAAAAACCTTCCACTAGTATAGGTATAGGTGGAGGCACTTTTAGCTCTGATCTACCGTCAAAGAAAATTGAGGAGAAATTTTCAAGAACGAATTCATTATTGTCAAAACAGACTAATGTAGATATGTCTGGGCCTGTTAATGACATCAGCCCATTGACTAGTGAAACCCTATCCGGAAATGCCAAACACCCAAGTCAGCTCTCAAAAAGTAAATCTAATAAAGGAATACCTATATATGTTATGAACTCAAACAGCGCATTGCAAAATTCAAACAATTTGTTTAATTCGCGAGTAGATTATGAAAGGCCAGGTGAAAAGTTAAAAGGAATAGGTACTGCAGAGCTTCGTCCAAGGAAGCAGCAAACTGCAATTATGGATAATATGAAAATAAAAACATTGAGTTTACATAAGTCCCAAAATTCACCGCCAGTGCCAGCAGCAATTCAATCATTGAATACAGACTCTAAGATAGGATTTCCTTACGACCGATTGGGTTCGGCATTTCCCGAAACAATATTTGAAAAAGCACGCGATAGTAGATACCAAATTGATCGGGATATTGCAATAGTTCCGAAGATAAGTTTTGTTGACCCCCAAATGAATGAACATTTAGGGCGGTTATCTAATGGTGAAAAGCCAGGAAATAACAAAATTATTCAGAAATCTAGCATGCCAAACAACAAACCCGTTAATACCAATGCAATAAGGGTAGAACCTCAACGTAACAATATATTTTCAAACAGTATACCCTCTGACGCTGAGGAAGAATCGGTAGATGTTAACAAAACTAGTAGACCAAAAGTCCGGTTTTCAGATCCAAAGATTTCTAAACATGTAACTGCATTGTTGAAGAAACTATCTAGTAAATATTCGGCACACAAAAAGTCCTCGGGCTCCAAACTTAACTTTGTTGATCCTCAATACCTTTCCCCAATATACAAAGCTTTGCTTGAGAATCGTCGCAAACAACAGTTTCTCACGTCCTCAGCTTCCTCCGTGCCACCTGACAATAGATTGCAAATGAAGTTTTCATTGGAACCTGTTGCAAATGCACACCAACCAAATAGAATAAAGAAGAAATCAAATGTTCCAGATTCTGCAGGTTTTAGCTATAATAGCCCTGTTGTCTCTGCCAAAGTACCTCTACATCTTGCTAAACACAAATTACGACTCTCGAATGGAACTAAAACGTTACATTCAGCAATAAAAGACGGACAATCTACTGCAAGTTCCGTCATTGGTCCCTTAAATATTGCAACCAAGACTACGTCAGGTTCAACCCTTGGTCCTTTACGGCGTGTAGACAAAACAAAACATAATTCTTTGTTGGGCAAGGCCAGTTATATACGACCTAGGCCGCCACAACAAGGTCACGGTTATATTCCTCAATCTAGTCTGAATGGAAAACAGGTAAATGTTTCCTTTCTGGAAGGTTACAAGTCGCTAGGTAAAGTAATAGATTATCACCATCTTGATGATCCCAGTGCAGTGTTTAGAACACGAGATCACTTTGTTCCAGGAAGCTTTGATCATAATCCCTTTACTGAAAGCATCGGCTTTAAGCAAAAACCTGATCCAGTTTTACCCACTTCCGGTGTTTTGACCGAATCAGATACTGGCATGAATAGTCAACGACAACCAAATAATTTACCTCTTTTTGCACAAGGTCACTACCTGTTTAGACATCAAAACAAACCAATGGAATTAAGTTACGAACTTCTTCAATATTTGTTTAAAAATATGGCTTCTCACGGACAAAAACAAAGTATAGACCTTGAAGCATTGAAATCCCAATCAAAATTTCCACTAAAAATGAGATATATCGACAAGAGTGGTTTACGAATGCAGAAATCACGTATACATTCTCCATTGGTTGCTCTTGCTGGAGGTCAACATCCCACATACATTAAAAAAGAAGAGGTTTCCCCTATACTGTCCTATACTAGAAATCGGCATCATAAGTTATTAGAAGTAAGTCAATCTCTGTCTAGCACAAGAAATAAGGATAAGAGCAAATCACGCAGTCAATACAAACCATCGGCTGTTAGCTCAGCTACAGCGTCCCTAATGAGCAAAAAATACCCTCGTGTACCTGACCTCGATAATGGAAAATCAGGTCGTGGTATGCTGCGGAATGAGAAAAGAAATAAAGGCGATAGCTTTTCTGGCAAAACTTTCGTAGACAGGAAAAATATTGCATTTCCATCGTTTCAAGCCACTCATAGCGAGCCACCCATATTTGACAGCGAGTTTAACCAAGCTCACGATAACATGAATACTGGTTTACCTGATATTCAGTCTATTCCCGAACAAACTTCATTTGACAATGCAGGCTTTCAAACATCAAGTATATCTACAGCTAGAAGTCTTGGTGTATCGGCATCGCAAAACCCAATGCCATCTCAATCGAGTGCAATAATGTCGTCTAACCCTACACATAGTAGTGTAAACATGGCACCCGGCGAATTCCCTGCCACAGATCGCTATATAATCACTTCGGAGACACCTAGTGATGCAGCTAGTTTAGCAATGAAAATGCACCTACCTATGGTAGATAATACAGCATCTACCCAGACATATCGTTTGATAATGGATAATAATGTTGACATTGGGAGAGGGAATATCATCAATGATAATGGGTTTAATGCAAATCACCACAATGACATTTTGGCAACTCAAGACTCAGCATCAAGCTTCAATAATAGATTAAATGTTTTTCGACAAACCCATGGCAACTCTAATAATATAGTTTTTCCAAACCTGCAATCTAATCTTGATTCGAGACATCCCAGTTATAAATCATTCCCTTCTGAACAGATCCTACACGAGGTTACTAACATAAACACTGTAGAAACTGAACCGTCTTCAGCAAACAATGAAAACATTTTCCATGGCTTTCCATCTGACCCAAATATTCAGAACTTCAAAACACCAAAAACACGCGGTCAACATGACTCACAAAATATCGATGTACATTTTACTAATACAGCACAAAGTAGGTCAGATATTCCTACAAACACACACCTTCAAACAGGTCCTAACCAGTTAAGTTATGCAAATGAAAACAAGGGACCGAAAGTATTTTTACAGCAAAACACACACATTGCACAAAGCCCAACCACAAATGAGCAAACCCCGACTCCAATGAATGGGGTTGGTTCTGCCTCTTCTGTTCAACACCAGTCTCGGCACCCAGAATCGTCCACCATAACAACCACGGAGTTTGTCCGAGAACATTCAACAAGTGCGCGACAAGAACAGATGACTGAACGACCTGATGGAATGACCAGACTACCAGAGACTACGTTCACCGCACAAGGTCAAATGACAACTCTTCAAGATGGAATTGTAAAACCCCAAGATCGGGCGATATTTTCGACCGCGTCCCGTGATGAAATGACTACTACACACACAGAAACCACAAGCCGCCAAGATGGAATGGAAACAACACAAGCCGGAATACCAAGCACATCGATTGAGATGAAAAGTAAAACCAGTATAATGACAACACCGAACTGGATTACTTCAAAGCAGGATGAAATAAGTACAAGTGAAATATCGAGTACATATGATGGAGCAATTACCCCTCAAATTGGGATAATAAGTACGCAAGATGGGATACCAAGTACGCAAGATGGGATAATTACCACACAAGGTGAGATAATTACCCCTCAAGATGGGACAATTACCCCTCAAGATGGGATAATAAGTACACCAGATGGGATAACCAGTACGCACGATTTGATCACTACCACACAAGATGAAGTGACAACTATACAGCATGCGATTGATAGAACGCAAAATGGAATTACAGAAACAAATGGCGACATGGCAGTGCCATATGATGGCGTGACTAATACGCAATATGGAATGACAAGCTCTAACACGGAACAAACCACAACAAATAATGGAACGTTGAGTTCAAGTCTAATAGATGTTATGAATGATAAGCAAGATACAGTGGTTATTAAAGAAATAACAACTGCTTCTAATGAAGGTGCCCAAGATACACAGAATCGTCCACAAGATGGATTTTTTCTTTCCGATCCATCAACCAGTATGACCAACTCTATAACAGGGAATGACATTTCAGGCATGAAAGGGAATACTTACAAAGCGGTTTGGTCAACAGAAACTGGATCTAACCGAGATGTCCAAGTGAATTCTGGCAACGTGGCTTATGATCAAGGTGGGAATCGGAATACGATGATGCTGTTCAACGATATGCCTAACTTCGTACAGCGAACCATAGCGAATGTCGATAACGCTCCTGCAGTGGGTTTAAAAGAACATTTAGATTCTTCTAAAACAAAGTTTGACTTCAGTGGTAATGAAGTAATCGATGCTCAAACAGATGGCTACAATACGGTACGCCAAGATTTAACTACAACACAACAGATACAAAATCTCAATCCCGAACACAAAGTTACGTATGAGTTCGCAGGGCAAGACACCACCACTACTAAGGGATCAGAATTACGGTTGGATCATCTGTTTATGCCAATTGTAACAACTACTCAACCAACCACAACAGCGTCTACAACAAGCTCGCCAACAACAACCACCACCACAGAGGCCCCGACAACAGCTGTTGAGCCAATAACAACCACGACTTCTTTAACTACAACAAATCCTCCAACAAGTACAACTGAGGAGCCAATAACCATAACTACAACTGAGAAACCGACAACGACCACCGAAATGTCAACTACAACAACAGAGAAAACTACCACCACTACCCTACCCACTACCACAACAACAGAATCTCAAACAACAACCGAACCAGCAACAACTACGACTGAACCTCTAACTACTACCACAACGACGGAACCTACAACTACCACCACAACCACTGAACCTACCACTACCACTACGGAACCAACAACAACGACTCCCGAACCTACAACTACCACCACAACAACTGAACCTACCACTACCACTACGGAACCAACAACAACGACTCCCGAACCTACAACTACCACCACAACAACTGAACCTACCACTACCACAACACCTGAACCAACAACTACCACCACAACTGCGCCAACAACTACCACCACAACAACTGAAGCTACAACTACCACTACAACAACTGAACCTACCACAACAACAACTGAATCTACCACAACAACTGAACCTACCACTACAACAACAACGGCAGTCCCTACAACTCCAGCACCCACTGATCCTCCAGTACCTCTCCGATTCGACCACTTGTTTATGGCTATTGTAACAACAACAGAAAAACCGACGACAACAACAACAACGACAACCACAACCACAACGGAAATCCCAACTTCAACAACAGAGGCACTTCCCACAACTACAACTACAACAGAACCTTTCACATTCAGAATGGATGGAGAAACCACAACAACCGCGAAATCAGAAGAACCGCGAAGGATACTTTCTACAAATAAGTTCTTTTCGGGTGAAGAAAGCATGAGTCATATAATCATGGGTCCAACCATCAATGCTGTGATGAATGGACGTTCAGATTTAAATAGTGTCCATGACAAAAAACCTTTATCTATTATCCACACATCTCTAGAGAGACAGAAGCAGCTGTTTGGATTAGATCGTGTAGCTAACCTCGCTATAAGGCCCACAGAAAACACAGCTATGGATATGTTATTCCCCAAATCTGTCTCAATGGAAGGTGGCCTTTCTAAAACTGCAGGCAACAGTGAGTTTTTGACAACAAGTTTACCATTAGAACACGTCACACAAACGACGACCGAACCACAACCGCTACGGTTCGATCACCTTTTCATGGATATAGTTACAACTACTGAACCAACCACGACAACTACTCCATCAACAACGACAACTCCAACAACGACTACTCCAACAACAACGACTACTCCAACAACAACCACAACGCCCACAACGACAACAACCACGACAACCACGCCTTCAACGACAACAACCACGCCCACAACCACAACAACCACGCCTTCAACGACAACTACAACAACTACGTCCCCAACAACGACGACCACATCGCCCACAACGACAACAACCACGCCCACAACGACGACCACAACGCCCACAACGACAACAACCACGCCCACAACGACGACCACAACGCCCACAACTACAACAACCACGCCAACAACGACAACCATATCTCCCACAACCACAAAAACCTCGCCAACAACGATTACAACTACGTCATTAAAGACAACAATGCCTGGAATGATCACCTCGCCAACAACATCGACAACAAGGACAGCATCATCAACGAAACAAAAAGCGACCACAACGTTTACTGTTCCAATCCAAACAAATTCCAAAGCTTCGTCGACAACAATGTCAACCGCGGTTACATCGCCAAGGATCGATTCTATAGCTACAATACAAGCATCAATACCAATAGCATCTACTGCCACAAGCACGTTAACACTCACAAACACAGATTCCACCACTAAATCCTCGACCAAAGACCAAAATCTTTCACAAGCAGCAAATACAAAATCACAGCCTATTGTTAGCGGATCAATTACTGCTGCCCGACCCTTTACTGGTCTAATCAACCTATCACAGGGGACAAGACCGACAGGGACTAAACCGACAGAAGGTCGGGTTAGCCGTCTTCTGGCCGCCACCGCTGCATCTACAGTGGCATCAAAATTGGAAAAAATTACATCTAATGTGAAACAGGATGTCTCATCAAGCATAACCCCCACTGGTGATTATCTTTTAACTAGTGTTCACTAATAAGTATAACCTAAGTATAGCTTGATGTAATAACATGATACATATTGATGTCATACATCGTTATTAAACATATGCAGATCTAGCATTGGCATTTTCCTCATGAAAAGGTACTCATCCATTCTGTGCATTGCTACAATTATAGCAAGCAGTTCTGGTGACTGTATTCACAATGGCATTTTGTGTCAGACCGCTTTCCTCTATTATCTTTTGTCAATAGTCCTGTTGTGTCATTTGCCTGGCTTAAGTTCTGTCCTTTAAAATCAATACTGCTGACACATAAATTTTCCTTATAGGAATGACATTATCAATAGTATGTCCCAAAAGTCATAAACCCACAGTGTTGCTAATCGTGAACTCGGACTATTCATTAGACGAGATACACTATGTGTCTTTCTATTGTTTTTCGATATTTTCAGTATTATGTGTATACATTGTAGATATCTATAGACTCAATGTATATACACCACAAATATCTTGACATTGTATATTCCTAATTAATATTTCACTTGATACAATAATAAATAAGACCTGTGCTACAACTGTAGATGATTCTACAGATTACTGTTTTGTTTTATCTGCATGACACATTTTACTCAGTTGTAATAAGTGCTGAAAATACACCCACGAAGCCATTTGTTGTGAACACGTTGGTATATTTGTCAATGAATATATGTCTTCACGAGTTGCACCAACAGCACCATTGTTATGTTCTTAACACTAACTTCATCCGAACGTAGGTCCAACTGGTTACTTAATATTATTCCTTCTATTATAGGTCCCTTGGTGGCGAGTCCCATCGGCGGATCACTGATAGACAGTCTTCAACAAGGTTCTCAAACAATGCAACCACTCGTTAAGATGGGTGTTTCTCAACCACCAATGGGTAAGTTGCCAAGATATTCCATCATTTCGGAATGATGTTTTATTCATTACACACAGATAGTTTACTTGATTCCCAAATACAAATATCAGAATTAAACAGTATCTCGTATTCTCAAGAACACATCCGTAATAGAGAAAATATGCCATTAGTTTAGTAAATCTCTTCTCAATGATTAAAGAAATGAGCGGGAAACAGTAAACATCTTATTCTGAACGAATCAACTTCCATAATCTTGTTTTTCAAATACGAAGTAAAAAAAAAAAAAAAAAAAAATCCCCAAAAATCAAAACAAAAACAAAAGAAACATTTATTTGGAGATCCATAAAAAATCGGAAATAGAATAAGACCAGATATTACGGCAAGTATCATCGACTGCACCCGCTATATAGATCTTGATCATTAGAGCAGATGACGATCTGTTCCCAAAGTCCTTTTTTCATTTCGTCTTGACTTTGAATCAAGATTTTGTTGATAAGGTTTTCTATTTTTTTTTTTTTTTTTGCTGTTTGTGATTATTCACTTACATTTGTGGTTAAATGTTTTTAAAACTATCAAAAGGTCGCGCTGGTCAGGTCGTTAAAGGCTCTTGCCATCTTTTTCGCTAGCCCTCCACCTCTTGGTCAAGGGCTCAAGGCCTAAGTTGGGCACTTTGTCACTAGCCCTCCACCTCATGGTCGCGGGCTCAAGGCCTAAGTTGGGCACTTTATCACCAGCCCTCCACCTCTTGGTCGCGGGCTCGAGGCCTACGTGAGGCACTTTGTCGCTAGCCCTTCACCTCTTGGTCGCGGTCTCGAGGCCTAGATGGGGCACTTTTTCGCTAGCCCTCTTCCTCGTGGTCGCGGGTTAGAGGCCTACGTGGGGCAGTCGATAGGTTCTGGCCGCAGGTCGGTGGCTTTGCTCCGGAAACCCCGGCTTTCCTCCACCATCCAAACCTGGCACGTCCTTTAGTGACTCTAGCTCTTAATAGGGCGTAAAGCAATATTAAACTTAATTTGGATACTATCAAATAATAGATTGACAGCAGCTGCATAATATATATTTTTTAAACAAATACGCAAATAGACTGAATTAATGTAGAAAACGACTTCGCGATATAGTCACAATTTTAGTTGGCTGGTTACTAGGTTTTTTATTTTTATATAATTAAGAAATTATTGCCTTTATCCAAAAAATAAAGTCCTTATTTTGGAATGTGTAAGAAAGAATAAATATCTATTAACGCCTTTTTCTGACATGATAACAGTAAAACAGTATCGTTGCCAACCATCAAGTGATGTAGGACGGATTCGTTCGTAATTTTTCTACACGCCGCATCCCAGCCCTCTGTGTTCTATAGGGAATAAATCGACTGTGTTTATTTCAATTCTACATTTGCTTTATGTAAGGCAATTAAACCTATTGAAAATAGCACTACCTTATTTTCGAGCAGAATGTCTTTAGTGTTAAAACGACCTTTTTTTTTTATAGTTTACCGTAACCTGCATGTCATGTTTTAAATCATCCAAACAGTGGCACTGCTCAAAATACACACATGAACTTGACATTAGTCTATAGTTATCAGACATGTGGAAAGAAAGGAGTAGAAAAGAAATCCATCAAATTATGTCGCCAGTACACTTCCAAATGTAGATTCATAATTTCATTTGACTACTAAATTTTGCTCGGTCGCAATCCAGGTTTCAAAATGTAGAAGTCCTTAGCATCAATCAATTTTTTTTATTACGTTCTTTTTTTCACAGGCTCAAATATGAGAGAGCCCTTAGTTCCAGGATATGTCGCCCAATCCAATGTTCCTCTTAATCAGAAACAGCCAAGCAATCCATGGCCTTCACAGGCGCCACTGATTACACATGGAAACCAGGCTGCAGGTGCACAGGGACCCACTGCTTGGACACAAGGGGTAAAACAGCCTCTTACCACTTTCCCGGAATCTATTTTGATAGGTAATGAGCCCAAGAATAGCCTATTAGCATCGTCAAAACCTGGATTCCAGCCTGAAGCACCTATTTCTTCCTTGAAACAGAAACCATTCGCAAATAAAAATAAAGACGCACCATTAGCTGATGTGAACACCGGTTTGAATACATTTGCTAACAACCAACCACTAGCAGATCAGTATGCCAAACAACCTGATGTCAAATTGATGAAAAGTGCTAAGGCTGTAATGGCAGACTATTCAATAATCAAACAGTCTGGCCCGACTGGTCCCTTACTACCAGGTTCAACCGTTCCTCCAGCAGTGCGGTTACAAACGGGCCGTCCATTAATGAATGTGGCAACAGGGATTACAGACTTTGTCTATCGGGCAACCCGCGATCCAGTACTAACTGGGGCTCCTTCTGGTTATTACACCAATGCATGGACTACAGTTCCAACGACAATGCCAGTGCAGACAACTAACCCCACGGAACTCCCTACTACCACGACAACCGAGCCTACAACAACAACAACATTACCAACAACTACAACAACACCCCAACCGACCACAACCAACATATACACGGCACATTCGGCAATGGTGATGCAAGAAAAGTTAAGGCGGGAGAAAGAAAAGGAGTTAGCTGCACTGAGAAGTGCTCTACAGAAATTGGGCATTCCAAATACCAGTGGATTATATCAAAGACTTGACACTCTCGCTGCATCTTCTCGAAGAGCAATCCTTAAGAGGGCCCAGATGATACAAAAGGGACGATCAACTGGCAGAACTGGTTAAGACACATACATTTAAGACAATGCCAAGCAATACTGCAGACGGTTACACAACGTTTAAAATCAATCAATGCACATGCTGTTATCAGCGGTATCAGATATGCTCGTTCATCTTTTCTGCAGCACTCACAGACCATGTTTGAAGCCATAATATATCTATCAATCGTTTTAATGTGAAACAAAAACAAAATCGATTTATGATTTTAAATTTCGAGAAATATGTGGTTAAATTACCGAATCGAGTTGAATATGTTAAAAGACAAATCAATGCACAATTAGCTCTAATTTTCGTTTTTCATAAATAAGTGATTTAAGTTGATAATCGTATGCTTGAGCTAAATGAATATTGTACGGATGTGTTCGTGTTTGTGTTTTATATCTTTAATTGGCAAAATTCACAACTGAAACCAAGCCATCGTCCGTATTAAACAAGTCCTTATTCACCCATTACTCTAATCCAATTGACATGTTAGCAAAGACGAAGACATAAATTATGACAAATCAAGTCTGATAAAACCAGATTATGGATTGTTAGCTAGAAATACTTTACTCGGCGGACTTGGTAGTTTGCCTTTAAGTAGCTGCAGGTCAGTAACTAATAGACGCGCCAATCCGCGTTTAAGACTGTTCTAACTTCATTGTATTATAAACTTGTTCATAACAAGCGTACGTTTAATGTGCAATAAACGTCACAACATTTTCATTTGAATCTCATTTAGTTTAATGTTCATAACATGACAACGATCACGCTGTCGGGCCATCTTCTCTTGTCACGTGGTTCCGATAATTAAATGTACATCTAATTGTAGTCTTAGACAATACACACAGTCTTTTGATAAAGACGTGTTCTAGTCGAAAGATTAATTATGCTGTATATATCTTATTTAAATATTTCTTATATATTACTTCCTTGACGTGGGATCCCGATGACATGATGCTCTATTTTTAATTACTTTTTGGACAAGGTAACAAGGTGTGATTCACTGTCTCGTTTTACGGAACATGTCCCTTGCCTACCCGCTCAGGATTAATAACACAAAACTCGTTTGAGTCAGTCTTTATTTTCGGTAGTATTTCATTTATAAAAATTGAAATCGTGTTTCCGAGTATGATTTTCTTTAAAATGTAAGAGACTTGGACGAAAATCCGTATCGAAGACAGAGCTTACTAGTAAAATGACATATATTTCGTAAATTAAAGAATTCAACTAAAGAAGGAATCCGTCTCTTTGAACTGGTGCGTTATATAATTAATCTCTGGCGTCTAACTAGGATTAATAATATATTCTCCATATCAATGATGATAATGTTCCGGAAATGATAACTAAACCGTCTAATCCAAAAACTTTTTCAAGCGAGGAGCCTTCCATAAATACCATGTTAAAAATCTAGCTGTTACCTCTATCTAATTCTCATTTAAGATTGGGATTCGGAAGGTTACGTTTCAATAACAAATGTCAATAGAAAAACGTACGTTTCTTCGTATTATTTGTATATAGAAAATATTTCCATTGTATCAGCTGCCTCAAGCAAGTTTTTACCAAATTGTCGCAAATAAAATAAATCAATAAATCATTTTCTTTTATTCTTATGTATTTATACTTTGTCAATTTCCTGGTGACTTAATATTAATTCCAAATGCACGTTTGTATCCCTGGAAAGTTAATGTGTCACAAATGACAATAACATGAAAACAAAAGCATCATACATGAAACACATTACTGTTGCTCATTCATCTACTATCACAGACATTTTACATCATCAAAGGAGGTTCCAAATATGCTTTAAACTGAGATACGTTATGAAATACACCTAAAAATAAAAAAAAAAAAATAAAAAAAAAAAACCCAACAAAAAACCTGTGATTACACTATTGTAAAAATCAACTATAAAGTAAGGGTAATCACGTCATCACTACAACATCAACATCAATGGTAGCACTAGGGACGGTCAAACATAACGTCATCACAACAATATAAACACCGATGATAGCACTAGGGACGGTCAAACATAACGTCATCACAACAATATCAACATCAATGGTAGCACTAGGGACGGTCAAACATAACGTCATCACAACAATATCAACATCAATGGTAGCACTAGGGACGGTCAAACATTACGTCATTACAACAATATAAACATCAATGATAGCACTACGGACGGTCAAACATTACGTCATTACAACAATATCAACATCAATGATAGCACTGAGGACGGTCAAACATTACGTCATTACAACAATATAAACATCAATGGTAGCACTACGGACGGTCAAACATTACGTCATCACAACAATATCAACATCAATGGTAGCACTAGGGACGGTCAAACATTACGTCATTACAACAATATCAACATCAATGGTAGCACTAGGGACGGTCAAACATTACGTCATCACAACAATATAAACATCAATGGTAGCACTAGGGACGGTCAAACATTACGTCATTACAACAATATAAACATCAATGGTAGCACTAGGGACGGTCAAACATTACGTCATCACAACAATATAAACATCAATGGTAGCACTAGGGACGGTCAAACATTACGTCATCACAACAATATAAACATCAATGGTAGCAATAGGGACGGTCAAACATTACGTCATCACAACAATATAAACATCAATGGTAGCACTAGGGACGGTCAAACATTACGTCATCACAACAATATAAACATCAATGGTAGCACTAGGGACGGTCAAACATTACGTCATCACAACAATATAAACATCAATGGTAGCACTAGGGACGGTCAAACATTACGTCATCACAACAATATAAACACCGATGATATCACTGAGGACGGTCAAACATTACGTCATTACAACAATATAAACATCAATGATAGCACTACGGACGGTCAAACATTACGTCATCACAACAATATCAACATCAACGGTAGCACCAGGGACGGTCAAACATTACGTCATCACAACAATATAAACATCAATGGTAGCACTAGGGACGGTCAAACATTACGTCATTACAACAATATAAACATCAATGATAGCACTACGGACGGTCAAACATTACGTCATTACAACAATATAAACATCAATGGTAGCAATAGGGACGGTCAAACATTACGTCATCACAACAACATAAACACCGATGATATCACTAGGGACGGTCAAACATTACGTCATCACAACAATATAAACATCAATGGTAGCACTAGGGACGGTCAAACATTACGTCATCACAACAATATAAACATCAATGGTAGCACTAGGGACGGTCAAACATTACGTCATCACAACAATATAAACATCAATGGTAGCATTAGGGACGGTCAAAAATTACGTCATCACAACAATATAAACATCAATGGTAGCACTAGGGACGGTCAAACATTACGTCATTACAACAATATAAACATCAATGATAGCACTACGGACGGTCAAACATTACGTCATTACAACAATATAAACATCAATGATAGCACTAGGGACGGAAACATTACGTCATTACAACATATAAACATCAATGTAGCATTACAACATTATCAACATCAATGGTAGCACTAGGGACGGTCAAACATTACGTCATCACAACAATATAAACACCAATGGTAGCAATAGGGACGGTCAAACATTACGTCATCACAACAATATAAACATCAATGGTAGCAACAGGGACGGTCAAACATTACGTCATCACAACAATATAAACATCAATGGTAGCACTAGGGACGGTCAAACATTACGTCATCACAACAATATAAACATCAATGGTAGCACTAGGGACGGTCAAACATTACGTCATCACAACAATATAAACACCGATGATAGCACTAGGGACGGTCAAACATTACGTCATCACAACAATATAAACATCAATGGACACTAGGTCAAACATTACGTCATCACAACAATATAAACATCAATGGTAGCACTAGGGACGGTCAAACATTACGTCATCACAACAATATAAACATCAATGATAGCACTACGGACGGTCAAACATTACGTCATTACAACAATATAAACATCAATGATAGCACTACGGACGGTCAAACATTACGTCAACACAACAATATCAACATCAATGTTAGCACTAGGGACGGTCAAACATTACGTCATTACAACAATATCAACATCAATGGTAGCACTAGGGACGGTCAAACATTACGTCATCACAACAATATAAACATCAATGATAGCACTACGGACGGTCAAACATTACGTCATCACAACAATATAAACATCAATGGTAGCACTAGGGACGGTCAAACATTACGTCATCACAACAATTTAGACATCAATGGTTGAATTAGGGTCGGTCAAACATTACGTCATCACAACAATATAAACATCAATGGTAGCACTAGCATCACAACAATATAAACATCAATGACGGTCAAACATTACGTCATCACAACAATATAAACATCAATGGTAGCACTAGGGACGGTCAAACATTACGTCATCACAACAATATAAACATCAATGGTCAAACATTACGTCATTACAACAATATCAACATCAATGGTAGCACTAGGGACGGTCAAACATTACGTCATCACAACAATATAAACATCAATGATAGCACTACGGACGGTCAAACATTACGTCATTACAACAATATCAACATCAATGGTAGCACTAGGGACGGTCAAACATTACGTCATCACAACAATATAAACATCAATGGTAGCAATAGGGACGGTCAAACATTACGTCATCACAACAATATAAACATCAATGATAGCACTAGGGACGGTAAAACATTACGTCATCACAACAATATAAACATCAATGGTAGCACTAGGGACGGTCAAACATTACGTCATCACAACAATATAAACATCAATGGTAGCACTAGGGACGGTCAAACATTACGTCATCACAATGATATAAACATCAATGGTAGCAACAGGGACGGTCAAACATTACGTCATCACAACAACATAAACACCGATGATATCACTAGGGACGGTCAAACATTACGTCATCACAACAATATAAACATCAATGATAGCACTAGGGACGGTCAAA